AAGTACAGAGTCATAACTTCCAGTCTTCCGTCTGCGCGTTCGCTGTTTAGTTTCTCCAATCGCCGGTGGTTGGCTCTCCTCAAACGACAGCTCCCCCTTTGACCGGCCGGTAACGGCCACAGGTACTGTAGGTAGGCATGGAGTGTAAGTGGACGAATTACAGAGTCTTACATTCCAGTCTTCCGTCTGCACCTTCGTTGGTTAGTTTCTCCAATCGTCCATAGTTGGCTCTACTCAAAGGATAGATCCTTCTTTGACCGGCGGGTAACAGCCACAGGCACTGTCGCTAAGCATGGAGAGTAAGTGGACGAAGTACAGAGTCATATCTTCCAGTCTTCCGTCTGCGCCTTCGTTGGTTAGTTTCTCCACTTGTCGTTGATTGCCTCTCCTCAATCTACAGCTCCCTCTTTGACCGGCCGGTAACGGCCACAGGTACTGTAGGTAGGCATGGAGTGTAAGTGGACGAATTACAGAGTCTTACCTTCCAGTCTTCCGTCTGCACCTTCGTTGGTTACTTTCTCCAATCGTCCATAGTTGGCTCTCCTCAAACGATAGCTCCTTCTTTGACCGGCGGGTAAGAGCCACAGGCACTGTAGGTAAGCATGGAGAGTAAGTGGACGAAGTACAGAGTCATATCTTCCCGTCTTCCGTCTGCGCATTCGTTGGTTAGTTTCTCCACTCGTCGATGGTTGCCTCTCCTCAATCGACAGCTCCCTCTTTGACCGGCCGGTAACGGCCACAGGTACTGTAGGTAGGCATGGAGAGTAAGTGGACGAAGTACAGAGTCTTACCTTCCAGTCTTCCGTCTGCGCCTTCGTTGGTTAGTTTCTCCAATCGTCCATGGTTGGCTCTCCTCAAACGACAGCTCCCTCTCTCACCGGCCGGTAACGGCCACAGGCACTGTAGGTAAGCATGGAGAGTAAGTGGACGAAGTACAGAGTCATATCTTCCCGTCTTCCGTCTGCGCGTTAGCTGGTTAGCTTCTCAAATCGTCCATGGTTGGCTCTCCTCAAACGACAGCTCCCTCTTAGACCGGCCGGTAGCGGCCACAGGCAGTGTCGGTAAGCATGGAGAGTAAGTGGACGAAGTACAGAGTCTTACCTTCCAGACTTCCGTCCGCGCCTTCGTCGGTTAGCTTCTCCAATCGCCGATGGTTGGCTCTCCTAAAACGACAGCTCCCTCTTTGACCGGCCGGTAACAGCCACAGGCACTGTAGGTAGGCATGGAGAGTAAGTGGACGAAGTACAGAGTCATATCTTCCAGTCTTCCGTCTGCGCGTTCGTTGTTTAGTTTCTCCAATCGCCGGTGGTTGGCTCTCCTCAATCGACAGCTCCCTCTTTGACCGGCCGGTAACAGCCACAGGCACTGTAGGTAAGCATGGTGAGTAAGTGGACGAAGTACAGAGTCATATCTTCCCGTCTTCCGTCTGCGCGTTAGATGGTTAGCTTCTCCAATCGTCGATGGTTGGCTCTCCTAAAACGACAGCTCTCTCTTTGACCGTCCGGTAACAGCCGCACGCACTGTAGGTAGGCATAGAGAGTAAATGGACGAAGTACAGAGGCATATCTTCCAGTCTTCCGTCTGTGCGTATGTTGTTTAGTTTCTCCAATCGCCGGTGGTGGGCTCTCCTAAAACGACAGCTCCATCTTTGACCGTCCGGTAACAGCCGCACGCACTGTAGGTAGGCATAGAGAGTAAATGGACGAAGTACAGAGTCATATCTTCCAGTCTTCCGTCTGCGCGTTCGCTGTTTATTTTCTCCAATCGTCCATAGTTGGCTCTCCTCAAACGATAGCTCCTTCTTTGACCGGCGGGTAACAGCCACAGGCACTGTCGGTAAGCACGGAGAGTAAGTGGACGAAGTACAGAGTCATATCTTCCAGTCTTCCGTCTGTGCGTTTGTTGTTTAGTTTCTCCAATCGCCGGTGGTGGGCTCTCCTAAAACGACAGCTGCCTCTTTGACCGGCCGGTAACGGCCACAGGTACTGTAGGTAGGCATGGAGTGTCAGTGGACGAATTACAGAGTCTTACCTTCCAGTCTTCCGTCTGCACCTTCGTTGGTTAGTTTCTCCAATCGTCCATAGTTGGCTCTCCTCAAACGATAGCTCCTTCTTTGACCGGCGGGTAACAGCCACAGGCACTGTCGGTAAGCATGGAGAGTAAGTGGACGAAGTACAGAGTCATATCTTCCAGTCTTCCGTCTGCGCGTTCGCTGTTTAGTTTCTCCAATCGTCCATAGTTGGCTCTCCTCAAACGACAGCTGCCTCTTTGACCGGCGGGTAACAGCCACAGGCACTGTCGGTAAGCATGGAGAGTAAGTGGACGAAGTACTGAGTCATATCTTCCAGTCTTCCGTCTGCGCCTTCGTTGGTTAGTTTCTCCACTTGTCGTTGATTGCCTCTCCTCAATCGACAGCTCCCTCTTTGACCGGCCGGTAACGGCCACAGGTACTGTAGGTAGGCATGGAGTGTAAGTGGACGAAGTACAGAGTCATATCTTCCAGTCTTCCGTCTGCGCGTTCGCTGTTTAGTTTCTCCAATCGTCCATAGCTGGCTCTCCTCAAACGACAGCTGCCTCTTTGACCGGCGGGTAACAGCCACAGGCACTGTCGGTAAGCATGGAGAGTAAGTGGACGAATTACAGAGTCTTACCTTCCAGTCTTCCGTCTGCACCTTCGTTGGTTAGTTTCTCCAATCGTCCATAGTTGGCTCTCCTCAAACGATAGCTCCTTCTTTGACCGGCGGGTAACAGCCACAGGCACTGTCGGTAAGCATGGAGAGTAAGTGGACGAAGTACAGAGTCATATCTTCCAGTCTTCCGTCTGCGCGTTCGCTGTTTAGTTTCTCCAATCGTCCATAGTTGGCTCTCCTCAAACGACAGCTGCCTCTTTGACCGGCGGGTAACAGCCACAGGCACTGTCGGTAAGCATGGAGAGTAAGTGGACGAAGTACTGAGTCATATCTTCCAGTCTTCCGTCTGCGCCTTCGTTGGTTAGTTTCTCCACTTGTCGTTGATTGCCTCTCCTCAATCGACAGCTCCCTCTTTGACCGGCCGGTAACGGCCACAGGTACTGTAGGTAGGCATGGAGTGTAAGTGGACGAATTACAGAGTCTTACCTTCCAGTCTTCCGTCTGCACCTTCGTTGGTTAGTTTCTCCAAACGTCCATAGTTGGCTCTCCTCAAACGATAGCTCCTTCTTTGACCGGCGGGTAACAGCCACAGGCACTGAAGGTAAGCATGGAGAGTAAGTGGACGAAGTACAGAGTCATATCTTCCCGTCTTTCGTCTGCGCGTTAGCTGGTTAGCTTCTCAAATCGTCCATGGTTGGCTCTCCTCAAACGACAGCTCCCTCTTTGACCGGCCGGTAACGGCCACAGGCAGTGTCGGTAAGCATGGAGAGTAAGTGGACGAAGTACAGAGTCTTACCTTCCAGTCTTCCGTCCGCGCCTTCGTTGGTTAGCTTCTCCAATCGTCGCTGGTTGGCTCTCCTAAAACGACAGCTCCCTCTTTGACCGTCCGGTAACAGCCGCACGCACTGTAGGTAGGCATAGAGAGTAAATGGACGAAGTACAGAGTCATATCTTCCAGTCTTCCGTCTGTGCGTTTGTTGTTTAGTTTCTCCAATCGCCGGTGGTTGGCTCTCCTCAATCGACAGCTCCCTCTCTCACCGGCCGGTAACGGCCACAGGCACTGTAGGTAGGCATGGAGAGTAAGTGGACGAAGTACAGAGTCATACCCTCCAGTCTTCCGTCTGCGCGTTCGCCGTTTAGTTTCTCCAATCGCCGGTGGTTGGCTCTCCTCAAAAGACAGCTCCCTCTTAGACCGGCCGGTAGCGGCCACAGGCACTGTAGGTAAGCATGGAGAGTAAGTGGACGAAGTATAAAGTCATTCCTTCCAGTCCTTCTTCTGCGCGTTCGTTGGTTAGCTTCTCCAATCCTCCGGCCGGTAACAGCCACAGGCACTGTTGGTAGGCATGGAGAGTAAATGCACGAAGTGCAGAGTCATATCTTCCAGTCTTCCGTCTGCGCGTTCGCTGTTTAGTTTCTCCAATCGCCGGTGGTTGGCTCTCCTCAAACGACAGCTCCCTCTTTGACCGGCCGGTAGCGGCCACAGGCACTGTCGGTAAGCATGGAGAGTGAGTGGACGAAGTACAGAGTCATATCTTCCAGTCTTCCGTCTGCGCGTTCGCTGTTTAGTTTCTCCAATCGCCGGTGGTTGGCTCTCCTCAAACGACAGCTCCCTCTTTGACCGGCCGGTAACGGCCACAGGTACTGTAGGTAGGCATGGAGTGTAAGTGGACGAAGTACAGAGTCATATCTTCCAGTCTTCCGTCTGCGCCTTCGTTGGTTAGTTTCTCCACTTGTCGTTGATTGCCTCTCCTCAATCTACAGCTCCCTCTTTGACCGGCCGGTAACGGCCACAGGTACTGTAGGTAGGCATGGAGTGTAAGTGGACGAATTACAGAGACTTACCTTCCAGTCTTCCGTCTGCACCTTCGTTGGTTAATTTCTCCAATCGTCCATAGTTGGCTCTCCTCAAACGACAGCTCCTTCTTTGACCGGCGGGTAACAGCCACAGGCACTGTAGGTAAGCATGGAGAGTAAGTGGACGAAGTACAGAGTCATATCTTCCCGTCTTCCGTCTGCGCGTTAGCTGGTTAGCTTCTCAAATGGTCCATGGTTGGCTCTCCTCAAACGACAGCTCCCTCTTAGACCGGCCGGTAGCGGCCACAGGCAGTGTCGGTAAGCATGGAGAGTAAGTGGACGAAGTACAGAGTCTTACCTTCCAGTCTTCCGTCCGCGCCTTCGTTGGTTAGCTTCTCCAATCGTCGATGGTTGGCTCTCCTCTATCGACAGCTCCCTCTTTCACCGGCCGGTAACGGCCACAGGCACTGTAGGTAGGCATGGAGAGTAAATGGACGAAGTACAGAGTCATATCTTCCAGTCTTCCGTCTGCGCGTTCGTTGTTTAGTTTCTCCAATCGCCGGTGGTTGGCTCTCCTCAATCGACAGCTCCCTCTTTGACCGGCCGGTAACGGCCACAGGCACTGTAGGTAGGCATGGAGAGTAAGTGGACGAAGTACAGAGTCATACCCTCCAGTCTTCCGTCTGCGCCTTCGTTGGTTAGCTTCTCCAATCGTCCATGGTTGGCTCTCCTCAAACGACAGCCCCCGCTTTGACCGGCGGGTAACAGCCACAGGCACTGTATGTATGCATGGTGAGTAAGTGGGCGAAGTACAGAGTCATATCTTCCCGTCTTCCGTCTGCGCGTTAGCTGGTTAGCTTCTCAAATCGCCCATGGTTGTCTCTCCTCAAACGACAGCTCCCTCTTAGACCGGCCGGTAGCGGCCACAGGCACTGTAGGTAGGCATGGAGAGTAAATGGACGAAGTACAGAGTCATATCTTCCAGTCTTCCGTCTGCGCCTTCGTTGGTTAGCTTCTCCAATCGTCCATGGTTGGCTCTCCTCAAACGACAGCTCCCTCTTTGACCGGCCGGTAACGGCCACAGGTACTGTAGGCAGGCATGGAGAGTAAGTGGACGAATTACAGAGTCTTACCTTCCAGTCTTCCGTCTGCGCCTTCGATGGTTAGTTTCTCCACTCGTCGATGGTTGGCTCTCGTCTAACGACAGCTCCCTCTTTGACCGGCCGGTAACGGCCACAGGCACTGTAGGTAGGCATGGAGAGCATGTGGACGAAGTACACAGTCACACCTTCCAGTCTTCGTCTGCGCGCTCGTTGGTTAGCTTATCCAATTGGCGTTTGTAGGCTCTCCTCAATCGCCAGCTTTCCCATCGCCAGTAGGTAACGGCTGCATTCCCAGTAGGTAGGCTTGACGCCGTATGTTGCGCCTACTAACAGGAGTAAATATAACTGTGCGTAAAAGGAGACACAAGCGAACACAAAGACAAAGACAGTTAGGGTATGCATTGTCAGCGTAGAGCGAGACACGACGTGTGCAGTGCAGCATGAGAGAGCAAAAAGTGGCACCGGCAAGAGGCAGAGGACTATCGGGCACCAAGCCAATCGATAATCAAGTGCAACTATGCGCGGCCGCTTGCGCCCTTGGCGACGCCGACGCAGCCGACCCGGGAACCAATCCAAACCGCGAGCAGGCTCCAGACCCACTACCCCCTCCCCCCCAAGTACACCGGCTCGCGGCGAGCTCGCTTGCTATTAGGGTTCCCCCTTAATCTGCTCCAGTTGGCCTCTATGGCGTTCGTATGCCGTCCCGTTGTGGGATTCACGAAGCCCCTACGGCGGTTCACAGTGCAGTGCCTACAACCTTCGGACGGTAGGCGGGTGCAACCCTTCCACTCATCGGTTACGATAACACTACCAGCAGCCACCCACTTCCTTATGACGGGCCTCATGGACTCTCCCAGCTGCGGTTGTTAATCTGTTCAAATAGGGCTTTCCGCCTGCGTGTATCGTACATATATGACCCACAACTGCCGCCGCGGTCGTTCCCTGTTATATTTGCGGCGACTTATGAGCGTCTCGTCTATCTGTACTTCCACGCCTGGTCCCCCACTTTGGGTTACGGCGGATAAATTTAAACTTAAAAGGGTTACGTAGGCCTACAAGCTGTTCTCACCATGGATATTTGCAAATCCCGTAAAACAGCGACCGCCAAGGTCGGGAGTTTGCCGACTTGCTGTAGGTTGGTGCGGTGGTGTTGGAGTACGTCCAGGTATTTTAAACATTGTTCACGTTATGCGTATTAAACGGTGCATGCCGTGGAGATCACCGATATAACAAATAGGGAGGGGTTGAGGAGGGGGTCAGTAAGGGGCCGGGAAGTGATGCAATTGTCATAAGCACTTTATACAAATACTCTTACCCAACCGTAGTACACCGCTGACCGCCCGCGTTCCCTTTGCGCATCGTACGCATCGTGCCTATCTAACGCACACCACTTTCAAGTGCGGCGCCAATGATCCCATTGGTTAGCCGCTTGGCGGTTCAGGTTTACTCGCCCCGGCGGCCAATCACATCACGTCCCCGGCCAGCCCTCCTTCGATTGGTCATTGCCTCCGGTTTTCCCTATTTGCGCGCCATCCTCCCCCTATTTTTGACTTCATTAAAACAAATATTTATTTTCCTTCGATTTTCAACATTTTTCGGCTTCCAACTGCCAATTTAGTGCCCTTTGCCGTTTGTCCCGCCCGTTCTTCCCCTCAAAACCGCCATCCCGTTGTACCCGACCCACCTAGAGAGGATTTCTCACTGTGGCTGCCTGTTGGGCTTCTGCCAATTATACTTCATGTAAAACATGCATAAAATATTCATTTTTGCTCATTCAGAAGAAACTTACGTCTTCCTTCAATTTTACAATAGAAGAAAGGGTATAATTCAGTCTTAAAAAGTTCCTAATTGTGAGATTTTTTTAATGTCGTGAAATGGCCGTTCGTAAAACGTCATGTCTCTGCATTTACCAATGCGGCTTGTAAAGTTAACAATGTGGCTCAAATTCACTGCTTAATTGTATGAACCCCATATGGTCTCCCCCTAATACCATAGAGAAATGTATGCTTTTCAATACGCACAAAATATACGGCTTGTATTTTGTGAACCCTGAATACAAGTGTAACGGCAGGTCGGGTCCAAAATTATTCGGGAATTGGAAAAGTTTTATAAAACTAAATTATACCCTTCCTTTGAGCTTAAAATTGAAAGAAGACGTAATTTTCTACCGAATAAGTAAAAGAATGAATATTTTTATGCATGTTTTCCATGAAATATGATTGATGTAGCCGGAAAGAAGTTTGTTCGAAAGCCGGCGTCCTAGGGTAACTGAATTACCATAGAATTATGCTGTATGATAATTGGTCTTATAACCCTACCTAATCTTTTCGAAACGAAAACGCATTTCGGAATTTCTGTCGAGATTTCATGAGTTGGCCCACTTAATGTAAATGAAAAGCTCACGCGGTCTGTCGGCAAGGTGAACAAGTTGCCCTCTAATGTAAGAAAAAAGGTCTGATTGCAGGAAATGAGCCATGCTGCTTTATTGGAAGTGGACACAATTGAAGGTAGAAAAAATGGGCGTTCTAAACTGTAGCAGAATTATGCAAAGTGATGCACGGTTTTTCGTTTATTGTATCAAGGCGCCCGGTTATTTCTTCTGCTCGGCATGCTCTGCTCCAGCCTTGTAACAAGTCAGTGCGCGGGGAGTAGCAACGGCGGCCTGGACGCAGGACACAAAGGAAAGTTTCGGCAACTCGGTCCACTGCCAGGCCTCTAGATCGGGTTTCTAGAGGGGGGAGAGGGAGAGGGGGGGGTGAAAGAAGCACTGCAAGTAGAAGCCAACAGCATGAAGGGGCGTACAACAAGTAACCAATTGAACTTGCTGAGGGAGATGAACGGCAGCACAGAACAATGCCCATCGCCTGGCATTCAAAGACGTCTTCGAAATCAATGGGTTTTATGCCAATGCTTTTTGTCCGTTAACATAGCAGTGAAATTAACCTATTGTCCGGTTTCAAAAATAACTATTTCCAAAACATTCTACAGATTGCAGTACTTGTGTCCTTGAACCAGGAATGCCTCAGTCAGGTAGACCGGCAGGAGACTCATGTGACAGTCAGTCCCTTAACTCCTTCTTGGAGCATGGAAGCTTCTAGACGAACAAACACCAGTAGTTACACAATAATTTTTACTTGTACATATTTTCATCAGATCAAAACTGATGTCAGCCTGCTTGTCATTTATAACTAGTTGAGGCCGGGATTAGAGGAACCTTTTAAAACCCGAGATCGTTGTTTAGAGGCTATCAGATTTAACATTCCGGTTGATGTCCACTGTGGAGTGCCACTAATTTATTTTTTCTAAAAACCAACCTGCAGGAGAGTTGTCGACGGCATGCACAAAAGTAATTATCGTGTAAAGGCGATCAAAAAATTAAAAATAAGTCAATGGGTTTATATGGCAGCCGGGATATGCTGAATCTGATGTATGCTATACATACTATGCCCACCAGCTCTCTTTCTACTCATAGTAGGAGCAGTGATAGAAGGTGGGGCAGAGCATCTGTCAGTTAACCATTACCTTCGTACCAGTACCTTCGTATCCATATATTTTGCCTGCCAAATTCTGCAGCGAAGGGATCAAAGTTGTATGGTTGAGGGCGAAAGATCTGCCTCCTAAACTCAATCCTTAGAATGATCTTTTACCTGAAGTCTACCCCCGGAAACTGTGATCATTTGCCCTTTGCGGATCATACATCACCTCCCTTGATAGTAGGAAGAAATCCTCAGTTATCTGCGCCTTTAGCTAAGTGATTAGCACCACAGATCGAAGAGTAGGTCTGAATAAACAGAGTAAAACTAATTTATTATGACCCAAATGTGAAAACTCGGCGCCTCGGTAGGATTCGAACCCGTGACAGCAAGGAGAAGGCTTTACCACAGCCAACGCTCTAGTCACCTGGGCTACGAGGCCCAACTGGGAACCATGAGTTTAGTTACACAGTGAGCCTTTGACGCCAGAATGTAAGCATAGTGAGTACTAAGTCTTGAGAAATCCTAAGCACGTACTTAAACGTGAGCAAAATTGTCGTCATAAAGTTGAAAAGTCCGAATTAGACGGTGCCTCAGAAGCGAAAGCTAAACTAAGGCGTACTAGCATGTCCAGGACCCCATCCTCGGGGCCATTAAACAGTATCTCCTGCAGAATCCATTGCGCACCGAGCACCGTGGTCCAAGCAAATAATCAGAATGCTACCCACATAGCTGGAGAGGCCGACATCTAAATAGAGACGACCTAAATTCCTAGAAATATCGTAAACATGCCTGAAAAAGTCTTTTTTAAAACTCAAACCACCTTGAGAAGATTCGTCTCGCACGCTCCGAGAAAATTCGATTTGTTTCTATGAAAGTGCAATTTACAGGCGCAATTGTAGAAGTTGATGAGAACCCAAAACGCAACATACAAGCAGATGCAGGCAGTACTTAGTGCTTTACTAATAAAGCAGCCGGGCTCACCCATTCAGTCCAGATATGGCGGACGGGACCGGAGGCTCATGGGTCTAGAGCCCGAGAGAGAGAATGAACGGACCTCGGAATTTAATGTCCCGGTACGTTATTACGCTCCTTAACGATCGATGAAACCTGGCTTCCTCAAACTACTTATCTGCTGCTTTCGTCGCCACTTCCGCTCTTACCTATTGCAGTCGCCATTCCTTCTCCCTGGAGGAATGAAAATCAAAGTTGGCTTATGCTCAGCTAAGACATAGTGCGATGAAGAATCTAAAAAGGTAACCCACACAACGAACTGCTCCAAACATGTACTAAAGAGGCAAGCACAACTCTATGTAGAGATAGGGAACCAATGGCTTCCAGGTAGGTAACCTGAAAAGGCCAATACGCTTCTGGGAAAAAGCTCTGGAAGTAGGGTGTGCAATATAAATAAGGGTACAAGCAATTCGAGTGTTCCAGCTACAATGTAGTAGCAGCGTACGGTGAAAGGGCCAAAGACAGACCTACGATCGCTCTGATCGTCTTGACTCTGTCTTGTCACTGAAATAGTCTGAACGTGGAAGGGGAAACGCGAAAAATGTTGCGAAAGTCTTTCCTGCTGACAGTTTGACCTTCTCAACCGATGACGCACACTATGTGACTGGCAAAGTTAAACAGCCCTCTACACGCGCAACACACGACATGGCCCCTATTGCAACTTGGACCTCACATGGATGAGAACGCCATAAAGGCAGCGTTTAGATGAGGGAATTGCATGCGCAAGTCGTCACCGCATCCGGGGGAACAGAGTGTCCACGACGCTGGCGACGGACGAAATAACCTAAAGGCGGGGGGGGGAGAGAGTAGAGGGGACGCGAATTTGCCGTGGGCGTCACGTGGGTCAGCGAGTATAAGAGTTGCTCTTGACCCATGCGGCACTAAGAGGCCGGGCAGCAGAGTTCGTGGGCGTGGGACCGGACTGAAAAAAAACGTGACGAGGACGCAAATCAATACAGCGTCTGCCAAAGCCACGTCCCCCTCACATGAAGCCTTCGCTGATATCTGACTACAAATGCGACCGACCCCCTCCGGTCAGAAGCCCACATATTTCGGGACAACGGTATCTACCAAAGACTGGGCAAGGACATTAATAGGACACAGGCGTAATCTGTTCTGATTCCGACAGTACTAACGGGTGGTATCACCACCTGCTTTGGGAATACAGCAGTTTTGTTCAAATCCAGGAGACTATCGTTAATCCTGCCCAATACTGATTTTTTGGAGCTCACACACGATCGTTAACCCCCGAAATCCGCAAAATCGTAACTGGAATACAAACTTTTCAGGCCTATTAGCCTAACCTGCCTCTCGTGCAAAACGATGGAAGCTCTAGTAAAGAGTGCCATACAACAATTTTGTGAAGAAAATAACCTCTTGCAGGATTTCCAGCATGGCTTCCGGAGAGGACGTTCTTGCCTCTCAAATCTGCTAGCTTGTCTGGAGATCTGGACCAGGGCCCTAGAAGAGGGTTTTGAAGTTGATGTCGTGTACATTGATTTTCGCAAAGCCTTCGATACTGTCCCGCACCAACGCCTTCTTCACAAATTGAGCGCCATCGGCATCCGGGAGATCTTCTGAACTGGATAGGGGCGTTTCTGGTTGGTCGGAAACAACGTGTTTGCATCGGTGATGATATGTCAGAATGGGTGAGCGTGACCAGTGGTGTGCCTCAAGGCTCAGTTCTGGGACCATTGCTATTCCTCCTTTATGTTAATGACAGCCTTCAGGAACTCGACTGTGGCAAAATAATGTTTGCTGACGACGTTAAGCTCTGGCAAGTCATTAAGAGTCCTAACGACCAGAGATCCCTCCAAAACAATCTTCATAGACTGCAAGCGTGGTCGGAGAAATGGCTTCTAGACTTCAATGTGCAGAAGTGTGCCGTCCTCCATCTGCGTCCAACTAACTCTCATTCAAATCAGAGCCTGAGGACATATCATCTGAAAGATATAAGACTCCCCGCAGAATCTTCACAGAAGGATCTCGGGGTTTGGATACAGAACAATTTGAAACCAACATTGCAGTGCCACAAGGCTGCAAAAAACGCAATGGGAGTGCTGCATGCAATCAAAAGGGCGTTCGTTACCTTTGACCAAGACCTTTTTGGGAGAGTTTACGGCACCTTCGTTCGGCCCCACTTAGAATATGGCATACAAGCATGGCGGCCATGGCTTGTAAAGGACAAAGCATGCCTCGAACGGGTGCAACGTAGGGCAACAAAGATGGTAAACGGTCTAAAAAACCAATCCTACACGGACAGACTGAATTGCCTTAATCTATTCCCTCTGTGTTACAGGCAGCAAAGAGGTGATCTAATCCTGGTTTACAAGATAATAAATGGCCTTGGGCATGGACTTAACTTTGAGGACATGTTTCAGTGGCACCTTTCACCCAATCTTCGTGGCCACTCGATGAAGCTACGGACAACAATGTCCAGGCTGAACCTTCGTTCTGAATTTTTCACGCAAAGGGTAGTGGAGAAATGGAATGATCTCCCTCAGTCAGTCGTGGAGGCGACATCCCTGCAACTCTTCAAGAAACGCTTGGATGATTATTTGTGTCCCCTGTTTTCCCTCGACAGTCTGAATCTGAGCTAAACACCCCGGTTCCCCACATATTTTTTCTCTGTGACAATGCTACTCAAATGGATCAAGTACTATGTATATAGCGAACATTTTCATTGTTACTGTACAGTTATTTCTAACGAGCTGACATGTAATTAATAGGGTTTTCAAAGGCTTTGCCTATCATCCTTATCAAATAAACTGAAACTGAAACTGAAAGTCAACAGAAAGGATCGAAAGGGGAGGACCTACCTGTTCCCGTTCTGCCCTCAGCTGACTACAGACGGACAGTTTGACCGTTGCCTTTGGCCCCAAAACGAAGGTTCTACCCTCTTCACCTGGGGGAAGAAAGAAAAACCAAAGAAATAAACCGCGTAGACGAACCGCAGCGACAAACTAAATACCGACAGCCTTAAGTAGCTCATCATGTCATTCCTCTTGCAGAATGTTTTGGCGAACTGAGGAACTTATCAGAGCAGTAGACGAACCTTTGTTCGATTCGTGCCGGTTGGCGTCACACAAAGAATGTCAACTTCTGGGAGAAGCGGTAAGCTATTTCGTTAATTCACATTGCTGCCGACAAATACGTTTCGACCCCAGTGCTTAATCCGAAGAAGGTGCCCGGTAAAGTGGATTTAACCTTTCCACCCAGCGGTGGTGGATTTAAAAATACTGCGATTCGAGAATAAAGAAAGCATGCTAAAAAGCTACAGGAATAAAAAATATGCCATGAAAACGCAATGGAAAGAAGTGCGGACGGTTTTAAAGGTTGGGGGAGGGGTTTGAGGCCTTCTTGCTGAGCGATAACTAAGCGACGTGTTTGATTCCATGAGAAACAGCTGTCTCCTGCGGTCAATCAGTGTGCTTACATTCAGTGGAGGTCGTGGCGATCAGTTAAACCTCGCCAAGAACAACGGAAAGGGGACTAAAGTGTCTCAGGTGGGAGTATGTTAAGAACAGAAAATCGTTCAGAGCTCGGGATACTTTCCATAAGTCCTTAAGAGGGAGACTACCCAGTGTCTAGTCTGCTGGATCCCAAATTCAGAAATAAGCCTTCCTGAAGCTTACAGCAGTTCATGTCACCTGCCAAGGCATCTTTCAGCCAGATCACTGGGGCAAGTATTGCACAGATCAGCGTTAATCAGAGAGCTTTACCAAAGGCGATGGGGCGACTGGAGCACACCGTCAACGACAGGACATTCTGATCAGGAATGAGAGGGCTGAGTTTCGTCCATTGGCCTAAGTCCCCGTGTCGGCAAGGCGGAGTAAACATCTCCACTGTGTTGGTGTGACCGCTGACAAGGTCAAAGCCACCAACAACTACAATGCGGTCGCCAACCACGGCCGCGGAGTGACTGTGACGCGCCACGTTCAGCGGTGCGGCCTCCACCCAGAAGTCCGACGGATTGATGGATCCGACATCTGTATTCGCTGCCAGCTTGCAGTACACAACGTCGGCAGCGTGGCCCACTGTCTCGGTCATTCCGCCAATGACAAAAACACGACCGTCATCCAGTGCGACAACACAGTGCCGCTGGACACCACGTCTCATGTCTGGAATCGGGACCCACCTACGCGAGCGTGCAGGGGTAGGGGAGGGAAAGGAACAGATTACTCAGCAAAGTAGCCTTTCCGTGAGCAAATCGGCACAACACATCAAAGCCTATAATCAAACAGGCCGTCTACTAGGCAGGAAGAATATAAGCACAGTGCGTGACCGATCTAATGAAATGTTAGCCGAAATTCAGAAATGCGTTTTCAACTAGGAAGAATTAAAAAGGTGGCATTGTAATATTAGTAATCATGTGCCATAATCCTGTAGTATTTCAGACTCGCCAAGATGCCGGCTTTTGAACTCACTTCTTTCTGACCTCCGGCAGAAATCGTACTTGGTAAAAAACGACTACTTACGTAGCATGCATTTTGCACATTGATTTTCGATGTTTTGATAAATTCAAATATATTTTATGGAAAATATGCACGGAAATATGCCTTCTTTTGCTTGTTTGGTAGAAAACCACACTGGCGTTATATTTTATACCTTAAAAGAGGTCATCTTTTGGTTTTAAAAAAGTTCCAAATTATGATGTTTTAAGGACCGTGCGATGTCCATATATGCAGCATCGTACGTGTCCGTTTACCAATACTCCTCGTGAAATGTAAAACACAGCCCGTATCCATAGCAGAATTTTTGTAAACGCTTTATAGTATCTTCTTAAAGGCATAGAGGAATATACGATTTTCTTTACGCGGAACGCGTGCAGCTTGTGGAATGCAATCGCTAAACGCTAATGCAACGGCTGGTCAGGCTCGAAATTATTCGGGAATGGGGAGACTTTTTCAAAATCCAAATATATACTTTTTCCGGGTATAAAGTGTGAAGAAAATGTTATTTTCTACCAAAGAAGCAAAAGAAAGCATATTTTCGTGCATGTTTTCTATAAAATATACTTGAATTTATCAAAACATCGAAAATAAATGTGTAAAATGCGTGCTACGTAAGTAGTCGTTTTTTTACCAAGTACGATTTCTGCCGGAGGTCAGAAAGAAGTGAATTCAAAAGCCGACATCTTGGCGAGTCTGAAATACTATGGGATTATGGTACATGATTACTAATATTACAACGCCACCCTTTTAATTCTTCCCAGTTGAGAACGCATTTCTGAATTTCGGCTAACATTTCATTAGATCGGTCACGCACTGTACATCCTGATTTACACACTATATTGACATTATCGACGCTTTCGGAACTTCAAGATGACTATCAGCGGCATAAGTAACAAAAAGGACCTACCTGTCAAGGTTCGTATTCAGCAGTTCACATGAGCGCACTGGGCCAGCTTCGTTCTCGCCACCACAAACTACGATGCTATCGTGCCCCACAGCAGCGGCGCCGTGGCAGCTTCTCTCGAAATGCATTGGTGCAGCGGACGCGAATGTTGCAGTCATGGGATTGAAAACCTCCACGGAACGACAACGCGAGTGCTCATCCCATCCACCAATCACGTACAAGGAACCTTTGGCGGAGACGAAAGGACGAAGGAGGGAAAGCGGATAAGAGCATAGGCACACAACATAGAATGCTTGACAGCGTAATTGCCAAAGTCGTATTTGCAACATGCAGACTGATTGGAATTAAGTATTGAACTTCTCACCGTTTTGCATGACAATGGCTGAGTCGAAACGATGTTTCATGCTGCCCACAGCCTGGCCGTGGCCGGAGCTAGGGTCGTAGGCTTCGACGGTCCACGAGGGCTCATCCAACGTTTTTCGGGGTCCGAGAACGAGGCAGAGTTCCTCACCTTTGATCCGTGGATATGGGATGAAAGGACATGCTTCTTCACCAAATCCAGTATGCTTCTCGATCCAGGCGTTAACAACTTCCAAATAGGTCCTATGAAGCATATAATATATTCATGCAGTTGCAAGT